AGAATCGGCAGCAATTTGGTTTCTCTAGAAACGGAAGAAGAAGTAGATTATCTACAGAATAGGATAAGCAAGTTTCACAAATTTCCACGGGCTGATTGGTACATTGGCCTCTCTGTAGAAACACCACTGTGGCAATGGGTCAGTGGAAAACCCCTTACCTATGATCATTGGGGAAAAGACAAACCAGAGTCAAGCAAAAAGAATAAAGCTGTCATAGTTGCAAACTCTTCTTTGTTCAGTGACGTTTTATATAGAGCTATAAGGCCTGCAATATGCGAATTTGGACAAAGTAAGAAATGAAATTCACTGTACTGCGGCTTTCGACATTCAATGAACTCAGTAGTTGCAAGCTGCACGCTGAATTTTGATTTTTCGCTGCTGTCAATAACAAAAACATTCAGTGGCTTTTATGTTCTTGGCTGGCGGCAGTGAAAAAAATATCCAATATTCCGTTAAAATGTCTGAGTTCGCAGAATATCAGAGCCCTCGTTTTTCGCCGCAGACCATTGCTGCACGCCAAAACTAAAAATACATTTTAACTCCTTTTTGTGCTGTGCTGCGTGCCGAGCTAAAAATGGATGTGCTCTCTTATTCTTACACATACTTATTCTTTTTCTTATTCATACTTATCTTCTTGACCACCTTTGTTTCTCTAACAGTATCTTTTTTGTGTGTGTGTTTGATTCATATTAGGAAAGTATGGAGAACTTTGCTACCAGCAATCATGTTATACATTTGAATTGCGACCAAAACGTTGGGATGTTTACAAACACGAATGTAGGAAGATATATGGCGATTTAGTATCTTTGGAAACAGAAGGAGAATGGTCCCACATTAGTAATATAATCAAAACTAAGAGTGAGCGTGAGTGGCACATTGGTCTCGAGGGAAAGCCTGTCAAATCATGGAAATGGATTAATGATGCATCGTTTTCATTAAGGAACGATTTGTGGAAGTTAGAAAATCCTAGAGGTAGAACTCATTTCGCCTTCATGGATGTCGGTACGGATGCCTGGTTCAAAGACCCTAAAAAGCGCTATATCTTCGGCGATGCAGACAATGTCTCAGATGAAAAGCAATACATTTGCGAAAGAAAATTAGGTAACCACTTTTTTTATTTTTTATTTTTTGCTTTCTTACGTAAAAATATTCTTTGCTACGATTTCTACTTCAATGCATTGGGGGCTATTTTAGAAGACAAAATACACAAAATATGTCCCCTAAAACTCTCCCACAATGCACTGCAGTGCCAACTCGGGCTCGACTCAGGCGGTTTTTACATCATAAATGATAGTTTTATGTAGTTACTCAATCGTTTAAAAAAATTCCATTCGGCTACTAGTTTATAACTGTGTTCCCATAGCCAATGATCTTGGGTTTTTTTCTATTGTAGGTTATATTATTAATGATGACTTTCGATATTTTTGTAATTAAATCTTCTTTTAACTGCCAATTCCAAAGTATAAAAGTTTTTTTTAAATCGTAAATATTATCTATAACATTGTCATATGAGCTTGAATGAGCTTGGATCCTGCATACCTATAGACCGTTGGGGAACTGGGCTCGGTTGTGCGAAGAATGTTTAATTTAATTTAATTTAAATTTAATTTACAGCTTTTATGACGCATTTCGCTACGCCTCAATGCGTTTACAATGTGTATCACAAATAAACTATAATTAAGACGTAATAATTATAATATATATATATA